GTGGGTGAATGAAGTCGCCCTGAGAACCGGAATCCCACAGCGCTGAGTACACCCTCGTGGAGGTCCCGAGTCGTACTGGGATGATCGGGAGGGTGCGATCAGGGTCAGAGAGGATGGCGAGAAGGCGACGCAGTGCAGCGACAGGAAGGGTGAGTCGCTCCTGACGAGCCTGGAGCATGCTCAAGTCCAGAAGAGAGGACACAACGTCCTCGCGAGTAGCAAGCTGCTCGCTGCAACGGGTTGAGCGAATGGCTCGACCCGTCGGTAGTCGCGGCGGGGAAAGAGGGGAGACGGTGGTCTTCGGAGGCGCAAACGGTACTGCGACAGAGGGCTGAGTACACTCTGTCGAGTCCTGCGATACCTCATCTCCAGTAGCGAGAGGGGCGAACTGCGACGGAGATGTCGGGAAGCCCACTACTGAGGAGGGCGCAGGTGTACACTGCACCGTAGCTAGGAGGTGCCGCGGGGACGTGAGGCGCCGGGGGGGGACTGAGCACAACGCTGACGAGAAAGGTCAGCGTAGTGGCGGTCGAGGGCGGTAGTGTAAGGGCACCGCGAGGAGGTATGACCGTCCAAGCGACAGCGCAAACACCCACGTCGGCCCAGAATAGCCGCGCGCTCCTCAACCGAAAGGACACTGCGAGGAGGGACGAAGCCCTGAGGGAGGTCCTCCTGAGGGACCTCAGGGGGCGACACGCCAGCGTGACCGGGGCGGCTGCGTGCCCGAGAGAGGGCAGAGAGCGCGAGCTGAAGGCGCTCAGCTGCAGGGAGGGTAGAGTCCTCCAAGTGATAGTGGACGGCCTCGCAGAGATCGAGGTCGTCGCTGTGGTCGCCCTCGGGTGACAGTGGGGCAACAGCGTCCTGCTCACCGTACTCCAGCGCGCTGAAGCGGCGCGAGAAGTGGCGGCCCTGCTGCGAGGAACGGCGGGGGCGACCGCGGAAATGGGAACGGCGCTGGGATGTACCGTGAGAGGAGGAGGAGGCGTAGCCCGTGCGCTGGGGCTGGGAGGAGGAGGCGGGGTGGAGACGGGCTCGCATCCGCTGGTGGTCCCTGGCGGCCTCGTAAGCCTGTGGGGCCGATGTGAACTCGTACCGCCATAGCTCGGAGCGGTACTCGAGCGGAAGGTTGGCCAAGAAACGATCGATAAGGGCAGCCTCGGGGAGGAACGCCACGTCGCAAACGAGGCGGGCGTCCTGAAAGACCTGGATGTGGCGATCCTGGCCGGCAGCGCCACCAGAGCCGGACCAGCGTGTAGTGACGACACGCTCGAAGGCGTCAGTCACGTCGTATCGGGCTCCGAAGTGATCCTCGAGGAACGCTTGGAAATCCATGAAGGTCGGAGTCCGACCCTCACGAAGGGAGTAGGCATAGAAATCCACCCAGGCCTCGAAAGGACCGCCACGCAGGCGCGTGGAGAGGTGACCCACCCACGTCTCGGGTGTGGCGCCCATGAGCTGGAGTGTGCGGGTGGCAGACTGCAGCCACCGAGACACGCGTATGCCTGTACCGTCATACAAGGCAATGTCCGACAAGCGGATGAGTGGTGTGCCACCGTTTTGGCGGCGAGGGGATCGAGGAGCGGAGGCCTGTGCCATGGCTGAGTAAGTCGGCGTAGGTCCTGAAGAAAGGGGCGCAGCTGACTGTGCGCCCGGGCCGCATGGGGGAGCGGCGGTGGCAAC